TCTAATGATGATACATTTTTTTAAACCATTCTCTATAAAATAAACAGAATCAGCAATCTGACACATACATTATTCCAAAAGCTTGTCAACAACTAGTATCATGGATAAGCAGTGGGAGTAACTACTATCATAGATAAAACATACTGTTGGTTAGTCTATGCTACTATGATAATTTAGTAGGAAAAATCACAAAATGGCAATAAATTTTGAACCGTAATCGTTACAGTACTGGGGGTTGCATTATTTAGTTTAGAATTAGAATAAAGGCCACAACACAATAATTTTGATGGAAATCGGGTTTACAGGTTACGGAGAAAATTCTAATGTCATTCTTATGGAGAATAATTTAGGCTTTGTAGTTTGATTGTTTATTAACAAATGTTGATCAGATTTGGAAAATACATTAATTTCTTACTAAACTATTAACACTTTACAACAAAAACACTGTTTTCCCTCCCTGTTGCAGCAAACCTAAGTACTCGCTAAATTAACTCTATAGTATTTGAATAGGGAATAAATGTGATATTTTTAAGGAGGCATTTTAGTGTAAATCCTATCAGGCAACAACCAATAATAATAACCAATAATTATGGTCACCGGAATAAGGCTGAAACACCTTTGACTTTAAATAATCTACATATCCATTACATTTGAACCAAATATAAGCCTACCATTGAGTTATATTTCCATTTAACTTGAAATTCCAAGTAGGCTTTCCATTTCAGCGAACTAGACTTACAATTAAATAATGCAGACTTTGAATAGGTACTGCAATAATTAGGACTTCCATTAATATGAACCGAAGATACCACTGAGTTAAGATGCTGCAAGTAGACATTCCATTGACGTAAACCAGACGTAACATTGACTTAATATACTGCGAATCGGCACTCCGTTTATGGGAATCAAATTAACCATTTCTTTGGATCCTGCAAGTAGACAATTTATTTATGTGAACGATATGTACCATTGAGTTTGTATACTTCAAGTAAACAATTCGTTTAAGTGAACCCGACGTATCATTGACTTTGAATGCTGCAAATAGGCATCTCATTTATGTGAACCAAATGGACCATTGACATTGGATACTGCAAGTAATTTTCTCATTTTTGTGAAGCTGGTGTACTATTGATTTAGGATACTGCTACTGCAAATATACATTTAATTTATGAGAAAAAGATGAAACATATATACTTTTAAGTAGACAATACATTTAATTGAACCAGACTTGTAATTGACTTTGAATAACGAAATTAGACATTTCATTCATTTGAAACAAAATATATACTAATGAGATTGGATACTGCAAGTATACATTTCATTTACGAGAAACATATGTAACATTGTCTTCAGAAAATTATTTGATTATTATGTCTGCTATCTGCTCAATATCGCAAGCAGACAACTGCTTTGTATACCTAGTGTAAATTACCTGAAATGTAAAGTTAAAACTGTGAAACACAGGAACGTTTCTCATGCAAAGTCCCCGTGCGATCTCTAGTGTTCACTTGGTAATACAGGTGTATTACAAAGTATAGGGTGTTTTCAACTCCCCACGTGAGTGTTAACGTTTCTTAAAAAGTACAAGTTCCTGTATAAGGTAATGTTTTTCTTTTTGCGAAAGACTCTAAAAGTAATGAAAGGACATTTTTTATTTACATTTATTTCGATAACAAACAAGTGTTTTTGACATATAAATAAATTTGTTCGCACAAAACTTGTGTGTATTACGACCCCCCCCCTAAAAACTGTTTTTTAGTAGTACATTTTAGGGAAAAATAATATCTTTACCATTCACAGACATCTTACTAATATTATAAATGAGAAAGTTTGGATGTATGGATGTATGGATGGATGTATGGATGTATGTTTGTGACAAGTGAACGCGAAAAATACTGGTCGGATTGGGCTGAAATTTGGCATGATGATAGCTCACATTCCCGATTAACATATAGGCATATTCTTATTTCAAAAATCCTTTCGGGCTCCGCCCCAGTGGCTCTGGAGTTTCCCATGTTAACCTTATGAGAAATGAAATTATTGAATCTTAACAGCTGTTTCAATTAAACAAGTTGGTTCTGTTCTGTGATGTTCAATAGCATTAAAGTTACAAAAATTACCAACAGGGTGCAGCACTATTATTTCTTATACATTTATGACAACAGCTAATTTGCAACCAAAAGGTGAGTGAGCGTAGCGAACGAACTTCAACCTGGAGGCGAGTTAGCGTAGCGAACGAGCTAACCTGAAGGCAAGTGAGCGCAGCGAACGAGCTCCAACCTAAAGGTGAGTGAGCGTAGCGAACGAGCTCCAACCTAAAGGTGAGTGAGCGTAGCGAACGAGCTCCAACCTAAAGGTGAGTGAGCGTAGCGAACAAACTTCAACCAGGACGTGATTGAGCCATGCGAACGAGATAATCTTGAAAATTAAGAAGTTAAACGGGGCAAAGCCCACGGGTTACAGCTAGTAATATAATCTTTTAAAAATGATATATTTTCCGGGTAGTACATATGCTAGTTATTCAATATCAAACAGTTCAATGACAAAATACATATTTTTTAATACAACAAATGGTTTATATGCAAAACTTGACCAAATACACACACAAATGGCAGTTGGTAAAAGAAATATATTATTTACATTGTATAACTTAAAATAAATAACTCTTTCATTTTGGAAACAGTATACAGTAAAATAAACTTAAATAACAACAAAAAATGTTATTTACCAATAATTGTTAATACAATTATAACAAATATGTAATAACGGGGTGTCAAAAACACCCCACGCGAGTACATACGTTAGTAAAACCCGCGCGGGTAGTTAAAGGTTAAAGTACCTTTAGCATAGAAGTAAGAAGTATAGCAATTAATTAATCTGTAAGTATATAACAAAATTACATAATCGTTTGACAGGCGACGGTAGGTATATAGATACAATGAAGCGGCAAAGTCTGCTGACAGTATTACAGCGGAGCGGACAGCGCAGGAACTTGTGGCGCTGACTGTACTACACATTCCACTTGGAGATATGAGACTCCACTCAACTTTTGGAGTTATGAGACTCTGGTTTAATTTTTACTTGGACTTATGAAACTTTGGATTTATGATCACTTGGACTTATGAAACTTTGGAGTTATGATCACTTGCACTTATATTTTTCTTGGAGTAATGAAATTATCCCTTTTCGGGTACTTGTAGTTGTGAAACTTTGGATTAAATATAATTTGGAGTTATGATCTCTTGGACTTATGAAACTTTGGAGTTATGATCACTTGGAGTTATGAAAACTTGGAGTTATGAGATGATCCCCAAATTACAGGCCACTGTCAATTTTACCCACAATTTCAAAAATTTACGAAAAATCTGTCAATACTAGATTAATGTATTTCCTCGAAAGTAACCGCTTAATTAATGACAACCAACATGGATTTAGGACGGAAAAGTCGACCAAAACAGCAACCGTTCAATTTATCGATTCCATTATTGATGCCATTGATAGGGGTGAAAAATGTATTGGACTATTTATGGACCTAAAAAAGGCATTTGATAGAGTCTGTCATGGTACCATGGTTAAAATTTTAACACAGTTTGGTATTAAAGGCAAAGCACTTGATTGGTTCAGATCAAACCGATAGGCAACAGTTTGTTGAAATAGCTTATACAAATGGAGAAAAACAAACAAAAATAAATTCGAAAACACAGTGCATAAAATTTGGAGTCCCACAGGGGTCAATATTAGGCCCATTATTATTCATTATCTACATAAATGGAATTAATGATATATTGGTTGATCAGAATGCCAACAAAGTAGTTTTGTATGCTGATGATTCAAATTTGAAAGTTTCAGGACCAACTGATGTACATATTAAAAGATCTGCAGAAGAAGAGTTAAATAACATAGTTTCATTTTTGACAAATCTAAACTTACAGATAAATTTAAATAAAACAAACTTTATAAATTTTAATACAAATAAGAACCAAAATGGTTTTTCAAAAGAAATAAAATTAAATGACAACATTATTTCAGAAGTAACGGATGCTAAATTTTTGGGGTTAACTGTGGATTGCAATTTCAACTGGAATAAACATATTAACAAAGTTAAAGGCAAAATGAATTCAGGAATTTATGTCCTTAGAAGATTATCTAAATTCTGCGATTTAGCCACTTTAAAAGTAATATATTTTAGCTTGATTCATTCACATTTGGCATATAACATTTGTGTATACGGAGCAACAACTCATAAAAAACTTAAAAAAGTTATTGAAACTCCAAAAGAAATGTATAAGAATCATGCTAGGTTTGAAGTACAAGGCTCATGTAAAGGATAGGTTTAGTGAACTGGGAATTTTATCAGTATTTAATTTATATGTATATGAATGTGTAATGTATGTGAAACAAAACATGACTAATACCAGTTTTCTTGGCCATAATCATACTTACAACACTAGGCACAAAAATAATTTGAAATTAGAAACACATAAATTAGAATTTTTAAAAAAAAAGACCACATATAAGGGCGCCAAATTCTTTAATAGATTGCCAGAGAGTTTGAAAAGTGAGATTAATATTAAGAAATTCAAAAAAAATTAAAGGCATTCATGATTGAGAACACTTATTATTCAATTAATGAGTTTTTAAATAACAAAAATGGCGTTGTTGGTAAGATTTAGGTATATTGTATTATACTTGTAAATAGGCTAATTTTAATTTTAATGTACTTATTTTTATTTCTTAGAAATAAGATCTGACACCATTCATTGTACATAAATTGTACATATTATGAATAAAGACATATTTGATTTGATTCAATCTCTTCATTTTGCAGTGTCTCATGTCATGTAAGAGGAAGCTTGGCACTCTCGAGCTCAGAGGAGAGGTCCACCACTACAACACTAGGAATAAGCAGGATCTAAACATACCTTATGTTAGACTAAAGAAAACCCAGGCTAGTAAGGAAATCTTAAGCTTGAAATTAATGAACAAATTGCCTTGTACAGTTCGGAACCTGCCAATCACTAAATTCCAAAAGAGGGTGAGGGAGTTCCTATTGGCTAACCCACTTTACTCAATCCATGAGTTTTTTGAACTTCCTGACAACTTGTAAGTATATTTTTTTATGAGTTTTGCAAGTGTGGTTTTATTTTATTTTCTATGCATGGAGTGTTGCAGGAACAAACAAATCATGTATTTTTTTTTAGTACTTTAACCTAGTATTAGTTTATTTGACTTTTTCCATACATGTATCATGTTCACGGAAATAAAGCATTTCATTTCATTTCATTTACATAAATTTGTTATGATTAATTTTTCTGTGCATTATTATGGAAAGTAGGCCTATCGTACGTTACTCGTCCCGTAAGCCTAACCGTACTCGCGGTAAAGTCGAACTCGGCTACGCCTCGCACGGTACTCCACTTTCCGGGCTAGTAACGTAATGTACTATTTTCCCGTCATACTTAACTAATTTTTATGATAGTAGTTTTATTTTTAAGATTGTATTCTACCACAGAGACGAATGATAGGTAAAAAGGTAATTTGTTTTAAGCCTTATCCACCTGGGTTTATTTAACTATTTTATAAGCTGATTTCTTAAGGTTCAGTCCTGTTGAAAACCCTGTTTTACAACACGTTCAAACGTGAATTTAACAGATGATTACATTCAGTAAAGTCTTTAGCCACATTCAGAGTGTAAACAAGAGACAAAGGTTTTTTCTGAAAAACGCATTTTAAATGGCTACTTTACATTTATTGGAAGTGTAAACCTGATATAGTAGGCAAATCAGTATTTTTGGTATATATATGCAACTTACATATTTTAAGTTAGCAGGTGAATTAATCTAATCCATATAACTGGGTGTAATAAACCTATTATTTTTATGTGATGACGTTTTTCTCTAATCTTAATTTGTTTAGCCCCGAAGCAATCTTTTAAAGGTAAAATAACCAACTGCAGAAAACCTGCAAACTGAGTGAATTACTATTTGCCTATCTTCAACATGCCATTTGTGTACTAAGCAAAAAATATCTAAAATTCTATAGGTTTTTGTCTTAAAACGCTAGGCTGTGGCCGAGGTTCGTTTTTCATATTGATTCAGAGTAGTCCTAGGGGTTGCAGCATTATCACTTAGATAGGCCAAAAATATATCGGCTATATGGCGGGATTTGAACCCGGGACCTCAGGGACCACGATCCTTACCTCTACCACTGGACCAGCTCACTCCCTAACAAATATTCTATAATCAGAGGTTGGGTTGCTATCTAACACACAACGAGAGAATAAATTGGCATAGTAAAAATTAGTTTTTCAGCCTCACAAACTTTTAAGGAAATTTCATTTTTAAGAGTTGTTAGCCTCCGGATTACGTTTGAATATTTATAATGGTTTAAATACCTGCATTCAGTAATACAATATGCTGCTTGTGGCAACTATAGTTTCGGTTCACAGGGAACTATCTTCAGGACGTACAAGGCGTCGTTATTCACTTCCATATATGAAGGTCGTCATTTAATAAATAAGTACATAGAACACGAACACACGAAAACGCACATTGACACAAACATTTAACATTAAAAAGACCGAGTACTCGGGAACACAGTTCGAGCTACTGTACAACTTCCACCCGGTCGCGTCACGTGTCCCGTGTTCCCGAGTACTCGGTATTTTTAATGTTAAATGTTTGTGTCAATGTGCGTTTTCGTGTGTTCGTGTTCTATGTACTTATTTATTAAATGACGACCTTCATATATTTAAGGTAATATTAGAAATTAAATGTTTACTTTTAATATGCATTCCAAGAAGAAATAATTAAACTTGAGATGTTCCAAAATTATCCTCATTGTTTACTTTTAGCGAATTTCCCATATAGGGAATAAGCTATTACCGTAGGTCTCATGGTAGGACCTGGACCCGGGACCGATATACTTTTTTGTTTTGATGTCCCCAGAGGCCAAAAACACCATCCGTTCAAATTCATATATATATATATGTGTCCGTTAGCGCGATAACTCGAACAAAAATGCTCCGATTTCGATGAAATTTGGTATAAACGTGTAAACCTACATTTATTTGAACGAGTTCGCGAACCAGCATAATCAGACTATGGGAACGGGGGTTTATACGGGGTTTTATGGGTTAAAAATAGGTTTTTCCCATTTTTGACTGTAAAAACATAAAATTTCGCAATTTCTTTCCAAACCATTTTGTAGAGCTTAAAAAAACAAATTATTTAGTATATTGAAGCGTTGTTGTAGGCCATATTGTTAGAGAGAAAATTCTAAAAAACTGTATATTAAAAATTCCCTTGTTATTCTTATGGAAAATAAGTAGAGTTGAATGTATTTTGCTTGTTTAGACATGTATTAGGAAAAAGGTTGTATAAATTGATAAGAAAGAGTTTGAAATACCGTATTTCTGTTATTTACCAGATCAGCAAATCAACAACTTTAAATCATAAATCAGATCTCTTAAGTTGAATATTAAATTTATATTTTAAAATTTTCAAAAGCAAAATAATTTGACAGTCAAGGAAATTGTATTTAGTGAACACATGTTTTATTATCAGCTGATCCAACGAATATAGTTGATTGTGCAAACTTGGGTAGACTTAAGTTAAATCTTGTTCAATTAAAAATGTAAGTTATTTACGATATTAATATAATGGTAAAATGATGATGAAGTATGATTTTTTAAATGGAAAACAAATTAAGTCAATTACAAAATTAGGTATCCATATAGTTCTCTTATATATAGATGGAGATAACTAAAATACTTTTTTATTTACCATAGTTGTGGCATACTTTTCCTTACGGAAAAATAATAGCAAACGTGCAAAAATAGCTAAATTTACAATCAATTGCTAGTTGGAGTCCTAATGTCTGTCGTTATGCTAAAAGCCTGGTATAAGAAATTAAGTATTGACTCATATCTAGGTACGGTATTATAAAACAGTCACTAAACAATCAAACACTAATTACCACAAAACCTACACTGATTTTTAACTCTCCAGAGCTCGTTGCTGACTAATTGTTCTTACAACCCGATAATTTAGCCAAAAGAGTATAAGATAATGTGAGTGACATAGTAACTTATCAACGATAACCTCACAACTGTTACCACAAGGCGGGTTAATAAAAGCTATAATATTGATAAAATTATCAACACACTACCTTGACCAAAATGCTGTTTCTATTTTAGGCTCTTATTAGACGAGGCAGCCAAGTCGCGCCACCAGCCGGGCAGCCAGTCGCCTGTCCTGCTGCCTAGCGCAGCAGCCAGTAGGGCAACCAGTAGAGCAGCCACAAAATTACCAACTAGGCCAGTCTCTTGTTGACAGTGGAACAGTGTTGGTGGAACAGTTCTGTTGGGGAGAGACGCTGTCAGAATGCGAGATGAATATTTGCTTCTTCTACTACTCGTGAAAAAGAGAAGACGAAGGAAGCGGAGAATGCATATACATCCTATTCTTTCATCAAGAACAGAAAAAGGATTATACATTATTGTATTACACCCTTTTTGACGAACTTTGCGCAGATGATAATGAGATGAACGCACTTCCACGAGTGAACTAGTGTGTTTCCATTACTACTGATGTGCGGCAGCGGGCGACTGGCTGCCCAGTGTAATAAGATCCGTAAGCTACACAGGAGCGCGACCAGACCGAGCAGCCAGTGGTTGCCTGTCCGGTCGCCGGGCTCGGCAACCAGCCAGCAGCCAAACAGTGGGGGGCTGCGCAACTGGCTGCCCTCGTGTAATAAGCTCCATAAGAACCAATGCCCAGTGACTGGCTGGCCGACTGGCTGCCCGGCTGGCTGCGCAACTTGGCTGCCTCGTCTAATAAGGGCCTAATCAGAGAACTACTCGCCTACTGCCCATGTGCAGTCATCTATGCCCTCTAAACCCTGTAGCCTAGGTTAGTCAACCCTGAGAGCCTTAATTAAAATCAGAGAGTTAATTCAAATCAGTATCTTAATCAATAAAAAATACCCTAGCCTATATTATAGGCACAAACAAGCTTATAATGATTGCTCGGAACCGGCAGGATTCAATTTTGATATTATTCGTGATAGGTTTAAAACCTAGATACTGTATCAGGATATTACCACAACAGTCATAGGCTAGTTTTTTCTCAAATAAAAATAAATATCCCCATGATATTAATCCTCAGACCTTAAGTTATTCAAAATGATCAGAAAGTTGTCAGTCGCCACTAGCAGGTCTATCCAACTTATACCCGTAGGCCTAGCACAAAATCCAATGTGTACAGGGATTGAGCACACTTGTTGATCTCCAACTCACTGAACCATAGTCTTCTCGGGTAGATTCCGTACCTGTTGGCACAAACAACCGATTGAAAATATCGATCAATATATCGATTTTTTTCATTCAATATATTGTTTGGTTAACCTAACCTAAAAAGAAAAGAGAAAAAAATGTAAATTTTGTTTGTTAATTTTTGTGAATCAATTGGACCTTGCCGACAAGTTTTGTAAGCTTGGCGAGGCCAAGATGTTGTATTATCACAAATAAATATATTTGAATTTGAACCTAACTAACCCGCAAACGATATCTCGATAGTCAATAGGCCTATATCGAATAACCGATACTTTCATTCGGTTGTTTGTGCCAACAGATATGGAAGTCTACCCGTCTTCTCTACACTGCCTGCCCTAGACTCTTGAAGTTCCAGGATAGCAAGACTTATCCTTTGATATGCTGGTCAAAGGAAGCTAGCTCTCCGTCGCAGCCATTCCCAACTTATACCCATAGGCCTAGCTTAAATTTTAATGTTTAGATTAAATGCACACTCCTTGTACACACACTCATTGATCACTGGTCTTCACTAGACTCGTCTAATTAAAACTGCCGCCATGCTGTGTCATGATAGCGCTATCATGTTGTTTTGTGTTAAATGTCTCGTGTCGTTTTGCCTTTTGTGTTAATTTTGATGTTTTTGACGTTTAAAGCTCCAATGATGTTGCATTGCAACAAACATGTCAGCTTTGAATCATAATTGAAGTAGATAAAATTTTGTACTACTAACGGAGGTAAGCCTAAAAAAAAATAAAACATATGCTAAATCAATTGTAAAACTTACTTTATTTCTAAAATACTCCAGCGAAGTAGTAGGCTAGTGATTTACTTTTACATGAACTCCTCTATAGCCTTATTGGATAATCTCTTTCTTGTGAGTTTCTTTGGTTCTGTTCTAGTAACTATTTAGGCTGAATGACTTGATGATCCACCCTTATTCGTTATTATTTATCGATGGTTTCAAGCCTTAACTTACACCAATGATTTACTCTATAAACGTTTTTGGGTACTGGGCTACGCTAATATCGATTGAAACAATCAAATTGAAAATATTGATTAATAATCGATATTTTTAAATAGGCTATAGCCTATCTATTATAAAATAAAACCATCATAACCTAACCTAACCAACCAAACTTGCTGATGGTGAAAAAATCGTATGAATGTTTACTACGGTAATCAAATCGATAGTGTCAATCGATATTATTGTAGCCCAGTTAAGAAACTGTACCCATGTTTTGAACCTTTCCATCCCACCAATCTTTCTTGTGTAATTATAGCTTTAAACCAGTATTCCGCCCTATGTAATTTATGTTTCAATCCCTAGTCTGTGGTAGTACTAACTTACCTCTGGGCTTTAACACAGTAAAACCATAACTCTGACAGGGAATCATAATTAAATACGAGACAAAAGATTTTGCAGTCATGACCTCCATTCAATAACTTAAAAAAAACTGCGATTTTGAGGAATTTATCGCATTAGGTCTCCGAAAATATACCGCTTAACACACAATATATTTTTTAACAACTGACAACAAAATACAAAAGTTTACTACTTCTTATTTTCAACAAGTGAATGTTGCGGTATCACTGGTACAGTGGTACACGGTTGAAGCAGAATGGATAAAGAAAGATAAGACAAGCTGATACTGACTGACAGACGACGTAAAGTAGACGACGTTAGCAAAGCAACACACCACAACTAACATTAAAACTTACAGACGGGCCAGAAGCTACTAACACCCAAATATAACCAAAGAGTAAAGCGCAAAATGATGAAATCAACTCTATATAGTACAGGTAAAATAGGGTTTTATAATCAACAAAATTTGTACATTCATGAAATTTCACCTGTGAGTTACTAATAATACGAGAAATGAAGATCCGATGAGTCCCCAAAATTTTGGGTGTCCTAAGGCCCTTTTTGGGGCCTTTTTTGATCCGAAGGGCCCTTGTTCCCGAATAATTTTCTTTTTACGTTTAAGGTCGAGTGAGGTGTGGTTTTCGATGGTTTTAGTTATTTTAAATCGATTGGGACTAGTTTTAAGTGTATTAAGCCACTCCATACAGGGTGTTTCGAAATATTATTACTTTTTACGATATTTAAACATTTATTCATAAAGTAATAAAATTATTTACCTCTATGCTCTATATAAAAGGGGATTATTGAAAATAATTGTAATTCTTTACTACGTAAGGGGAAAGGATCACAATGAGTAAGAGAAAATATTAAATACCCCCGTCACAGCAAACCTGCAGACCTAGCAAATTTCCGTTTTACTTACTTGATTTTCAGTTAAATCTAAAATAGCATTGCGTTTAACGATTACCTAGGTTTGCTGCTACAAGGAGGCTAATAAAGTGCGTTTATAGTAAAATATTAATAGCCTAGTATAAAACAAAAAATTTGACAAGTTTGATCAAGATCTATCAACAAACAAACAAAATAATTTTACACTATTCTACATAAGAACACATGGAAATTTTAAATTTACAAATTTAGTATTTTTATCCGTAACTAATAACCATACAAAAACACGTTAAAATACTAAATTAATTGTTTTTAAGCTATTTAAAATGTTCTAGAGAAAAATTGGGAAACTTTGTGTTTTGAGGGTGAAGTAAACCAGAAAACCCAATTTTTACCCCATAAACCTCGTTCCCATTGTTCAGAACAAAAATGCTTGTACCGACAATGCTGCTCTGATGTCTTAGTGCTGTCCTAGTCGTCATAACCACGAAAGATAACCGTACTTGTATTGATTGAAAATAATTTTGGGGAAATTAAGATACAAGCTGCAAACGTCAGTATGTATGAAAGGTGTTTTTGCACCACATTGTTCGTGCTTTAAGATTGGTGTTGCCTGTTCTGCAATATACAAGGTTTGTAAAGGGGAACCCTGCTTGAACACCAACTTGGACAAAATCAGTAAAGATGGACAAGTTGCTAAGAATAATAAAATCGGTAATGAGTTGTCTGAGAATAATTATTGTGATGATGGAATTGTAAAGAGAGATACTACGGAAATTGTAAAAAAATAGCTTTAGTTTAAGTACTTCATTTTAATATGTAATGTAAGGTTTTATACAATTACAATTGTTTTGATTTTTAGTAAATGTAAAAAAAACTTAAATAAACTACCTAAGAAAAATACATATCAATTTGAAATTGGTCTTAATAGATTTGAATGGAAAACACATTGAAAGATTATTCAAATTTGCGCAGTAACCTATATTATTATGTTATTGTGTAAAACCATTATTGTCAATGGTAAAACTTAATCCATCCCCTTTTAGCGAGCTTCCTATATAGGAAATAAGCTATTACCGAAGGTCTTATGGTAAAACATAGACTCGAAACCGATTTACGTTTTCATTTCGATGCCCCCAGAAGCCTCAAGCACCCTTAGAGGACTGCTGTTTAGAGGGTTGCTAGATAACTCAAAATATTATAAATGTGTTTATATACATATATATATAATATAATATATCCATATTACATACGTAAATATGATAACTCAAGTAATTTTGGTTCAATTCTAACGAAACCGGCATAATCGGTCCTTGGAACAGGGTTTTATGTGGTATAAATTTGTAATCTTTGACCCTCAAAACACAAAGTTTCCCAATTTTTCTCTAGAGCATTTAAAGAGCTTAAAGAAAACAAATAATTTTTTATATTAACGTGTTATGTAAGTATATTATTTACGAATAAAATTCAAAAATTTTAAATTTTAAATTCCATGATATTCTTAAGGAGAATAGTGTAAAATGATTTTGTTTATTTGTTTATATATATGTATTAATAAAACTTTTCAAATTTATTTGTTTTATACTAGGCTATTAATATTTTGCTATAAACACACTTTATTAGCCTCCTTGTAGCAGCAAACCTAAGTATTCATTAAACTCAATGCTATTAGTTATTTAGTTAATTGAAAATCGGGCAAAGAAAATTCGCTTAGTCTGCAGGTTAGCTGTGACGGGGGTATTTAATATCTTCTCTTACTCCTTGTTATCCTTTCCCCTTACGTAGTTACAATTATTTTCAATAATCCCCTTTTATATAGAGCATGGAGGTAACTAATTTTATTACTTTATGAATAAATGTTTAAATATCGTAAAAAGTAATAATATTTCGAAACACCCTGTATGGAGTGGTTTAATACGCTTAAAACTGGTCCCAATCGATTTAAAATAACTAAAACCATCGAAAACCACACCTCACTCGACCTTAAACGTAAAAAGAAAATTATTCAGGAACAAGGGCCCTTCGGATCAAAAAGGGCCCCAAAAAGGGCCTTAGGACACCCAAAATTTTGGGGACTCATCGGATCTTCATTTCTCATATTATTAGTAACTCACGGGTGAAATTTCATGAATGTACAAATTTTGTTGTTTATATGGAGTGTTTTTGTATTATTTTACCTGTACTATATAATAATAGGAACACAAATTTCATCGATACTTCCGGACATGAACTAGACAGGAAAGACGAACTTCGAAATAATTTACAGGGGGGTTGGAATAAACTAACTAACAAAAAATTATGTTTCATCTATGAAATAGGTGATAGGAAATACAATGATCAAAAAATGAAAGACATACAATCACGGCCACAACCATAGTAATAAGATAATCCATAAAACACGGAATATGCTCAGTGGTATAATACATGCAATATATCACAAACTCTTAAAAGAATTAAGGCAATACAAAATATTTGTTGGCAATTAGTTTTTATTGATTAAAATTACAGTTTATTTCCAATTACATTACAGGTACAACATAATGTGCTATTACATGAAATTGTAAGTAACATGGTATTCAATTATCAGTGTTGGCATTACTGTAGACGATTTTAGTTTTATTTCATCTGACAAACTCAATGGTTTCAACCAATCAGGTTTCATTTTTTTGAAAAGTAGTAACCAATCAGAATCAAAGTTTCTCCTTGTTCTTGCATATGCTCAACAATCGCTTTTTTCTTTTTCAATCTGTAAACTCAAGCTTCTGAAACATCTTTTATCTTGGTGCGGTTTTATATTTGTCAAGAAAAGTTTGTTTCAAGCTAGGCTAACTTATCAAATTTGAAGCCATTTAAAATCAAAAACTCACAATACCTACGGAAATTACATTAACAAATGTATTATTAACCTGCCAGTAAGAGGTAAATATTTTTAGTAAAGATATCAATGATCCTGCTCATCCCTAAGTTTGTTTAGTTGTAAGATAGGCCTAGTTAACATAAAGCGTAGGCCTAACTTTAACGAAACTGGAAATCAATTATTAGACTTAGCCTACTTATATATTTTATTTTTGGATAGATTTTGTGACATTTATTCATAAAGAAAGTGTAGCCTATTTTGTTTATGTTACATTAACAGTCTTAAGAATAGGACTAACATATACATTCAACATTTGTCAATAATAAATTAATGTTAGACCTACTTAGGCCTAAAAAAGTTACACGTATTCAAGCCTAGACTAAGTTATATTTTTCAGCCGTTGAACTAATTTGTTTTTATTTTTTTAAGTAAACCTTATCAGAAATGTAATGACATACCTAGCCTAACTTAATTTGTAAAAAAATAGCTTAACTTATGCTAATGGCCACAGTTCCGCAGAGAACCTGTATTATCCATATTAGGTATCGGATGAAATAGGCTATGGATAGTTATCGACTTAGAGTAAAATATTTATCTTATTAAGTTAAGTTTACCTTTATCTTTTACCTAAATTAGGGATAGGTTGCACCAAAACAAAAATAAAAAACAATTTTTGCCTATTTTTATACAAAGTTAAGTTTAACCCTCCAAGTGTCCATAGTTTAGGCCTTAATGTCCACCTATTTTTGGCGCATTTGCAAGGTTTTATTAAAACGGATCTGAGAAGCTTAAAACAATGTTAATTCTAATGTTCTATATACCATTTTGTTTGGAAAATCATGGGCTTCAATATTATATATAAAACATAAGGAACACTTTTTCAAAAAAAAAAATTTTAGGTAAAAAAAATATAATTTCGAAAATTTTCAAAGAAAAAATAAGTTCGCGCTCAATGAAATTTTATAAATTATAGGCCTATAAATATTTGAAAATAGCCACTTTGTTCTAAATTTTATGAGGATTACAAATATATAATAATATAAGGAAGTAGATTTGCAAATAAATAAGTTATGGGCAAAAAACAGATTTCAGTACATAGCGTTTAGCTAAGAATGCATAGCCTAACCATAGCTAGGAATCTGGCTGATAATTTACATCAATATCACTACCTACTTCTTCAGGATCATCAACCAGCACTTCAAAACCACTTAAATCTTCTTATAATGCAACACGTATATCACTACTTTTGATTTTTAACACTAAAACAATGATAAACGTAATAAAACACATCAGTCATCGGTCGGAGGGTAACCTAGCTGTTTACAAATACACGCACGTCAGCTGTCTGCTACATATTACGATCGGCTCAGATAACGTACAGCGCTGAGACAGACCTCTGGAGAAAGCTTAGAATGAAACGGAAAGAACAATACCTAACTCGATCCAGTTCAATCCGATTCAGTCAGTTATAGAGCCTTTGCCGTAAACGATGTCTGCTTGTCGAAAAATCGACAAGTAACACTACACAAAGTGTGCTGCTTGTCGAATTTTCGTCAAGTAACACTGGGAGGGTTAATTAAGTTTAGCCGGCTACCCGCTAAGAAGACTGAGTACATACCCGTAAAACGCAAGCTTCAATTTTACAACGCGGTAAGAAAGCAGCGACCAGCCAAGCTACTTGCCCTGCTCCACGGTGTTTTTACCCTAACTTACCATAGGTTAGGTAGTGATTTAATTATCGACCATGAAATCTGAGCCTAGGCTTGTAGGTTCCAAAGTTATCTGTCATAACCGCTATATTAGCCTACCATATCCTTGAAAAACCCCTTCACCACCCCCAAAAAAGAAGTCCCTGGAGTAGGTGACAGATGTCTTGGAGAGTCTAATTGCGGGGAACGTTATGTTTCTTTGCCTTGTGTTGTGAGAATGAACAATGCCATGGGATCAGTCTGGCTCCAATGGAGGCCATCGGCTAGATGGTGGTTTGAGGCTCCCTGCCACTGGAAATAAAACGAGGACCATTTGGGTCCTCTCACGGCAACAATAGTTAGCCTATGTTTGCTGCATGCGACTAAGGTGGTTTTAGATGCTTTAAATTTCTTAATAATTTGGTTGAAATTAATAATTGCTTAATTGATGTCAATTAAATAATAATCGTTCAAGAGTCAAACATATTTTAAGTTAAGGTAGGCTTATAAAAGACTTCTGATATTCCCGCCTACCTGTTTGTGATTTATCATTGTTCGCAGAATTGGAACTGCAACTATCTAACCAAAATAAGTTCAAACTTTTTGAACTTTGTTGTATTTAAAAGATTTCCCTGCTTCTCTTTTCTTTTACTTGCAACACTTGGGTGCACACGTTTCATTTTATAAACTGAATGAGTCAAGTTTTAGTACTCCTTCAAACAATACGTTATAACCCACAACATAGGAATGACTGGAAACAGTCAAACGTTGGTGATTGAAACTAACTTGACTGTTTGATGTTGAGGCTGACATGTGTAACAAAGTCTAAAATGAGTTGTAGGACTAAAATGGGTAGTTTGCCATGAATAAAAATGGATGGAATACACATATTTATCTGTTGTTGGTAGGCCTACTCACATAAGGTTTATGCGTTCACAATTATACCGTAGTGTTGAAGTTACAAAAAAATAACATTTAAACTTTTGAAAATTAAAATTTTAATACCAAACTATTAATACCGGCAGGGGTGGCTCCAGGGATAATTCTTTGGGTAGGCCTGACAAGGATCAAGAAGGAGTTTGTTCGGGGGACGAGAGGTTTGTGGGGCTTCCCCGCAAAAGGGGATAATTATAAATTTTATTTGCAAAATAATGAGTTTGAATGCTCTCCATTTATTTACATTTAATTACATTTCTTTATAATATTGAAATATCTACTAAAATTTTGGCTAGGCCCGGGCCTACCTGGCATGCCCTCTGGAGCCGCCTCTGAATACCGGTACCGGTAATTACAAAATAAGAATGACAAACTCCAAAATTGTAAATTTTGTCCTTCCATAACGTTTTATACCAAAAGTAATAAAATATTAATGCAAACGACAACAAACAATAAGAATCAACAATAAAAACACCAATGTTTAAATTAAAATTATGATTGATTATTTTCTTTGCAATGACTGAAACTACTGCAACATTGTACCGATTGAATGCCACCAGTTGTTGTGGAATTCACTCATCTGAACTGAAAAACCCAACTGGTTTTAACAACCGATTGACTAGTCGATAGTTTTTTCCAGTCAGTTGTCCCATCACTAGTTCATTACTAGTACAAGCGCAAGCGCTAAGCTGTCTGCTCGAGTGCACACAGGGCACAGCGCTGTCGTGTCACTACCGCTGAGCCGAGTCGAACCCGAACAGAGCGGCGCAGTGAGATCAGTGACTATCCTCGAGTACCAAATGACTATCACTGTACCAGGGGCTACCCTTAACTGTAATTCAATACTGTAGGCTACAAAACATGTTGTTTATTTAGAATTACTTTTGCAAGATTACTTGGCTGTAAAACAGTAAAAAAAAATAATTTTTCATAATAAAACATATTTGTTTTCTTGATTTCGTTTGGCTTTTGGAGGCTCCCTTGAGCTGGAGGCCCTCGGTCATCGCCAACCAGCTGCCCTGGCCAGACCGGGCCTGCACGGGATGTAAGGTCTTGATGCTTATCCCAGACATGAAGAAAGGCACAGCAGTGGCAAAAGACAGTGGGTATTCCCAGTTCACGAAAAGGGACTTACAACGAGCCCAGTTTTCACTTAGGCCTAAGTTTATTATTTTTGGCCCTATTTTTGAATCTTGAGATTCTCCACTGTACCTGATGAAAGCCCCCACTAAAGAAGTTCATGATATTATCTCATCTTAACTTGATATATTACGTTATCTGGATCATCATTCTTCCATTTTAAAATTTTATTCTGAAAAATGAATTTGAGTTATTCATATTTGAGTCATACTCATATATTGATCTAAAAAAGTTAGATACAACATAATACCTTATACAGTACCTTACACAGTGCAATCTTTTACAACACATTTCTAAAACCGTCTGGATTAATATCAGTCCAGCTGATTATTAGGGAAAAAAATTATTAGGTATATATAAAATTTGTTTGACACAACAACGTTTCTGTTCACAAATGATGTAGGTGAGTTAGATTACCTGTATTGGTGAGTAAAAAAACTTATTAATTAATCTGTCTGTGGTAGTGATGTGTCAATACCACAATTTAAAGATTCTCGATACTGGTACCTGAAAAATCTATTCTCGATACCAATATTATTTGTATAGTTTTACCAAATTTTCTGAATGGATTATTGGTTATACTTTACTAACCCCTGTCTTTATGTCCTTCATCCATTAAGTATTTTTGAGGTAATGGGGTGTTTTTTTTATTTAAAAAAATGTATGCAGCAATGAAACATTCTTACCAGCCAATTTATTTGTAAACCCTTCTAAACACATTTATATCATGTTAAAGGTAAAAAATGAAGATCTAACAACAAAAATAAAAAATAAAAGGTTATAGAGGTGTGCCAGCCTTATATTTTCAGTCAAACCAAACTCGAGGTAATGTCGTGATCATCTCCATCGGTCGTGGAGATATCTTCGTCGTCTTCTGGGATCACTGCAAAATCCGAAATATCCTCCTCAATTCAGAAACATCATTATTTTCATCCAGCAATTGATGATCCCAACATCCTCATTTCCGCTAACGCGGCAAAATCATGGACATCTCCCACAGCATTGAAGACGTCATCATCGTCTCAAGCGGTCACAGAAAAGTCATCCGCGAATCTGGCCAAATGATTAATATCTTCGGAGGCAGTGTAGACATCATCATCTTCTCCCGCGGTCACAGGAATGTCATTGTTGCGGAAGTTACCACTATTACCACAATCAGGCAAGAAGACAATGTCATCATTGTCTCCTGTGGTGGCGGAAACGTCATCGTCTTCTTGCCTGATTGTGGTAATAGTGGTAACTTCCGCAATGAGCGTGATGGCTATCGGTATCGGAATCAACTTTTGACGATCGATTCTTGATATGGCTACCTTATCAAATTGGACTATTATAATGTCCAAGCATCAGTGGTATTGAGAATCGGCACATCCCTAGTCTGTAAATAGTAAATGTATTAAGGTGGAAATTAATGATAATTAATCTTGTCTATTAAAATAATGTAAAATAGATAGTCAATATTTTTGAGATCACCCTAAGGGCCGAAAGTTTTAAGTTAAATTAAACCTGTGATATGACAGATTTAGAATTATATTGAAAACTTGTCATGTTTCAAAAGCTCCATATTAAATTTTTTCTATTAACTTGAAACTATTAGCCTACCTACTTTATGACCCATTATTGGTAATTTTGAGACCGTACAAGAAGCTTTAACATTGCCAAATGATGTTTGTGAATAATATATAGTTTATTCAAAGCCAGTTGAATTTGAGTATAAGAAGTTAGTATTGTAATTTGCCAGTTATATTTTAATTATGTGCAGAAATTATTACTGTAATCGGGGCTAGTATGATTTTCAGACCTTATTTGTAAAATAGTCTTAAACACAGACATTTCTCTAGCACTCCATTAGGCTACCTCATCTCCGATTGGCAGACCCTTCCAACTCGACTATGATCAAATAGTTTCTAGAAACATCAGTTGAGCTATGGCTGATGTGATGTTGTGTATTAATGATGATTTTTATTCTTATATATCAGATATAAGAATTATATCTTATATCAGATTCCAGATCCCGAAACCTTGTGTATTGTTTTTTACATTCGTGATGGAAATTGTCCGCAATAAACCATTGAACAACATTAACTCACCATCACCAACAATGAACTTCAAACAAAGAGTACCTAGGTGTTCCAGTTACTAGTTTTTTTAATAGTTTAGGAGATGTTATTAATTGTTAATACTGTATATTTTGTTTTAGCTTTGGGAATGGCCAGTGAATTGGACACCAACCTGATTGTAGGCCAGGCATTGCCTGTCACTTTGCTGAAGGTACAGGAGGATTACACTGTCTACGTCCAACCAGCCTCTGAGGTTGGAGAGGTAAGCTATCAATCATTATTCAAATTAAGGAAGCACTTATTTCGCGAGTTAAGAATATAATTATGCAAAATAGTTTAGATGCATGTATTTAATATTTACTAAATTTGTTTTTAGTCAATGTTGATATATTCTGCTGTCTTGATGTAGAAGTTATGTGAAATTAACACTTTGCTCAATACTCGAGTAAATTCAACTTGTACAATTATATACCAGCAGGTTTTGTGCAGACTATAGTTAACATTGAGACTTGAGAGATGGGGTTTTATAAGTTCAGGAAGTGCCAAGACAAATATTGTAACACTTTTCGTATTGCCCAATGACCTTTCTGAAACAGACAATAATTCAAATAAGGGGAGTAATTTTAAATAGGTTTATGGAGGAACAAAATATTCTACTCTAGTAACAGATCTGTAAGATAAAGTTATGAAAGTGGCTTATTGGCCTAAATTGTATGCATTTGATTATCGATAATCTGACACTTAATAGTCTAGATCACTCCAGTTCAATGATGTGATGAAATCATCAGAGATATCATGATGTGTGCAATACTGGAATATAATTTGTATACCTATTGAAAGTTAAATGTAAATGCATTGTTTTTTTTTTTTTTTTTTTTGTTAAAGATGCCAACTGGTTTATTTTAATGTCCAATAGTATGTAGAAGAGTACAATTAGATTTGATTGATTCACTAGTGGCTATTTTTGGTAACTTTTTCAGTAATCCGACACCTTCTTGGTTCTATGAGTGACAAATTATGAAAAGTCCAACGTAGTGTAGGAAATAGTTGGATCTGACGGTTGAGTGGAATGTATTGTTTGTTGCAGTTGCAGAGCCTCGAGTTGCAGCCGGGTCAAGGTGTCAAGTGTGTACTGAGCAATGTCAAAGAAACAGCAACTGACGAACAACGGCAAGCCTTCACTCAGCTACCTGCTGACACATACGTCATCATGCTGGTCGACGCAGTACAGAGTGAAGGGTGGGTAAAACTAAAGAACTGAACATAGCTGTATGAAAATCAAACAACTTTTGCCTATCTACAATCACTTGCTCATTTTTGCTTGTTAATAGTAGAAGAAGTTTACTGAGTAGAATTTAAATCAGAAAAATATTTTAATTCAACACTTTTATATTTTAAACTGTTTGGCTACTGACTATTGACACCATTGGCTTCTTGTTTCTTTTTCAATATGGACAACCGTTTCAATAAAAAAATTAAATGAATTCCAGTTGCATCAACAGTAAAAACTTCTGTTAGCTATGTTAAAATTTAGTTTTATCAATTTAACATTGTTGAAATGGAGAAAACTGAAGTTATAACAAGAAAATAATTAATCTATCAGTTATTCTTTGTCTAAACTAAGCTTATAAGATATCGTTGTAATCTGCCTAATATTTACTAAATTTACATGTGCAGCAAATATGTTGTAAAATTAGTGGTTTTCATAGAATTTGTCATCCAATATCTAAAAATCCACCATTTTTAAACAATTCAAGAGATATATTCATATTTTATACAAAAATAGTGGTCAATAAGATAATCATTTTTACAGAACTTCAACGCTGTAGCTCAAACAGTTAAGGAGTTTTTGTAAATTCACATACAGACAGATAGACCGAAAACTGAATAAGATAGGACATATGTTGTTGTTATATTACATTTTTTGTTTCTTTTGACATGAAAATAAAGTGACAAAGATTGTTCATAAGGTTGCAAGACACCCTGCATATCCACCTGCTGCTTACAGTAGTCGCAGCTAGACTGGGCGCGCGGCCGCGCTAGGGTGCGGGGTGTAGAGGGGAGTGTTTATTGCTCATTTCCAAAAACATCTGGCCCACACGGCTCTCTGGGGGGGGGTTCAGCGCCTCACTGCTGTCTTCATGGCTTTGGCGTGGGGGACGGTTAGTACACAAGGGTCCGCGCGCCCAGACTAGCTGCGACAACTGTACTCTATTGTTGTGCTCATTTTAAATAATTTTAAATTAGAGAGCTCTGGGTTCATGGTACAGTAGTTAAATTTAGTATTATCATGTTTTAAAGATTAATATAAAGGCCATGCCTACAAAAATTGATAGTTCCATTCATTTAAATAAATAATAATTATTAAACGAATTTATTTATGATATTGCTGTCAATAGGAACCCAATTTAAAACCTGCAAAAGGGGTTGTTTCTCTAAATCTTTCATAAAATATATTAATAATGAATATGCAACAAAAATAAAATACCCCCGCCGTAGCAAACCTGCAGACAAAGCGAATTTCCATTTACTTGTCTATTTATATTTCCCCTTCCCCTATAATATTCCCTCAACATTGACAGATTTATTTACTATTTAAATAACAGAACTGGGGTACTGAGCTTAAGTTTTCTGCTTCAGGAAAGGTAATGAGGTATGTTTTTTAATTGAAATGTTGATAGGGAGTATGAAATAAAGTTGCCAAATTGTATTACAAAATACCCCCGCCGCAGCAAACCTGCAGACTAAGCGAATTTCCATTAACCTGATTGGATTTAAACACTAAAATGCCTCCATAAAAATAGCACATTTATTTCCTATTTAAATAGAATTACTTTTACGAGTACTTAGGTTTGCTGCAACAGGGAGGATAAAAAAGATTTTTTTTATAAAATGATAATAGTTTAGTAAGAAATAAAAGTATTTTCCAAAATCGATAAAAATATGTTCATAAACAAGCAAACTACAGCAGTTGACTTATTCTCCATAAGAATAACATGGGAATTTTAAAATTACAATTTTTTTGAATTTTCTCTATAACAATTAGGCGCATAATAACGCTTGAATATACTAAATTATTTGTTTTTTTAAGCTCTACAAAATGGTTTAAAAAGAAATTGTGAAATTTTGTGTTTTTAGGGTCAAGAATGGGAAAAACCTATTTTTACCCCATAAAACCCCCGATTAACCCCCGTTCCCATAGTCCGATCATGCTGGTTCGCGAACTCATTCAAGTTTATCCCGCCTTACACCTTCAAACCAAATTTGATCAAAATCGGACAAAAATTACTCAAGTTATCGTGCGGATGGACACATATATATATATATATATATATATATATATATATATCTCTATATATAGATATATAAAAATTTGAACGAATGGTGTTTTTGGCCTCTGGGGACATCAAAATGAAAAAGTAAATCGGTCCCGGGCTTAGGTCTTACCATGAGACCTACGGTAATAGCTACTTCCCTATAGGGAAATTCGCTAAAAGAAGCAAACTTCAACAGTTTATTTATTCTACATAAGAATAACATGGGAATTTTTATATTTTTTTTATTTTCTCAGTAACTGTTAGGCACACAATAACCATTCAATATTTTAATTTCTTTTTTAAAATCTCTACAAAATGATTTATAAAAAAAGTTTGAAATTGTGTTTTTTAGGGCATTTTGTTAAAACCCCCCATAAACTCCTGTTCCAATAAACAAACTCGTTTGAATAAACATTGTTTACGAGTTTGAACCAAATGTCATCAAAATCAGATCATTTCTTGAGTTATTGTGCTAACGGACATATATACATGAATTTAAATGGAGGGAGTTTTTGGCCTCTGGGGGCCTCAAAACAAAAAAATTAATTGCTCCCGGATCAAGGTCTTACCATGAGACTTACGGTAATAGCTTATTCCCTATATGAGAAATTTTCTAAAAGAGACATTTAATAATAAGTTAGCTGTTGTAGCTGTTTGATAATTATTGTCTAGCAAGGTTGAAATTGTTCACCAATAGCTAACTGTTTCTTTAAATAGAACTGTTAAAGTAATAGTAAAGTCAAAAATATTTTAATTGTGTGTGTTTTTATGAGTAATGTCTAGTAACGGTAACACAATAACCTGTACATTTTCAGATTGCAAGTGACACTGTTTGACGGCGAAGGGCAGCTACTTGACCTTCAAGAGAATGAGGTGCAGTCAGTAGAGAAGGTCTGTCCCATGCCCATCCTCAACATGCATCAGAAGGTCTGGATCGCACACGCCAGTGAAGACGGCGTCTTTTTGCACAAAATCGCATATGCTGATCTTCTAGCAGATTTACTCCAGAAGCTTTATGAATTTTACAATGACTCTGAACCTGTCGAACAAGAATGGAATAATGGAAACCTCTGCTGTGCTAAATCAGTTGCCGATGAACAATGGTACAGAGCTAAAATATTGGAAACTGGAGAAGAAACTAAGGTTCAATATGTTGACTATGGAAACACTGAAGTTATTCCTTCCTCCCATCTGCGACAGCTCGACGCATCTTTCTACACACCACATGCTCTCGCTTTGCCCGTGTCTCTTGATGTGACTTGGTCCGTCCCAGTGGAAACCCTGATGGAACTAGCTGGAGAAACTAAATACAACGCTGTCATTCTGAGGAACAAAACCGGATGGATTGTTGAGTTGGTGGACAGTTCAGGACAGAGTTTGACTGAAAAATTAGTAGAGTTGGGATTAGCTGTGGCTCTAGATAACTCACCATTTAAAAGGGTCGTAGAAGAAGGCAGATTCGCTGAGGGCTCTGATATTCCAATATCAGTCTCTTTTATTGACTCCCCTTTGCAGCTATGGATTCATGTCGGTGATGATATTGAGCTCATCGAAGCTCTACAAGACAGATTGCAGGATGCCGCTCCAAAACTTCTCCCTCTCAGAGAAGCCACTGGAATGTTTGCTGCCAAATTTTCAGATGGACAATGGTATAGAGCTCTCAAGTTGGATGATACGTCAGCCAGATTGGTTGATTATGGAAACTCTGATGTAGTTGACATGTCAGATATTAAAGCCCTGTCTCCAGACTTTTTAGAACCTGCTGAGGGTTATGCTGTCAAATTGGAACTGCCCATTGAAGAGTTCAAGGAAGGTGCCAATGAGAAACTTGAAGAATTGCTGATATCGTCAGAAATCAGTAGCGAAGAAGAAGTAATTGCTCACATTCTATCGGTGAAAGAAAATTCAATTGTCGCAGACATCAAAAAAGGTGGCAAAAGTATTGTAGACATCCTGGTGGAAGAGAAGCTTGCTACTAAAAAGGCAAAGGTTTTCTCAGGATTTGTGAGTAATATAAACAGTTTAAATGATTTCTTTGTTCAAGAAGTTGGCTGTGAAGAAAGCCTGGAAATGATTGTTAATGCTTTGACGGCAGCAGAAACTTTTGAGACAGTGTCAGAAGTGAATGAAAATGATTTAGTAGCAGCTCTTTTTACTGATGATGGTTCGTGGTATCGAGCAAAGGTGACTAAAAAGTCTGAAAATGGAATTGAAGTACTTTTTATAGATTACGGAAACTCTTCTATTTCAACTGAATTCCGAACCCTACCTCCTGAGCTAGCGGAGAAAAAAGCCTTAGCTAAACATTGTGCCTTGAAACTGCCTGAAGGTTTAGAAGAGTGGATAGAATCGGCAATTGAAAAATTTATGGAACTATCTGCAGAAGGCTGTACTCAGTTTGATTTAAAACTAATAACTGAAGGGGATCCAGCAATTGTTGTCTTACACAGCAATGACAAATGTGTAAATGAAGAGTTAAAACCTTTCTGTGATTCAAATGCTCCTGTGACCGCTAAGACTGAAAGTGCCTCTCCAGACCTGACTGGGTATGACAAAGTTGTGTATATTAGTCATATTAATGGTCCTAATGATTTCTACATTCAAGTAGACAGTGCTGAAAGTAGTCCGGTCAAAAATGATGAAAACAACAAAATCCTGGAAGATCAGTTTGTTAGTGAGGTAGTAGAAGGAAGCAAACATGAAGCTGAAATTCAAGACATGATCATGGAAAGTGTTGATGCGAAAATAGAAAACATGCAACTACAAGAAGACATGCAGCAGATTGTGGAGGATTCGCTTGAAAATGCACTCAGTTCAAATCTTGATGAATCCTCTGTAGTAACAGAACAAGAAGTAGACAGTGCTGAAAGTAGTCCGGTCAAAAATGATGAAAACAAAATCCTGGAAGACCATTCTGTTAGTGAGGTAGTTGAAGAAAGCGAACATGTAACAACATTAGATACGAGTTCTTCAAATGGTGTTGGTAACGTCCAAGAATATGAGGACAGATCGATGAAGAATCCCGAAACTTCTGATTCCGTGAATGAGGCTGAATCAAAAGGTAAACATTGCTTTTTTCACCACTTTTGCCTACATTTTATCGTATTATTCTACACATATAAAATATTTATGTGGAAATATATGCTCTTATGGCGTCTAATAAAACCCAAACATAGAAACCTTGCCTAAAATGGTACCCATCTTGACAAATTATTTGCACCTGCCTATATAACGAACTTTGGCGCACCGGGTTGGTAACATTATTGAAAATAACATGACACTTTGGCTGTAAAATATGGTAGGCTACAAAGAGGAAATACTATTTAAGCAGCTACTGTCATGACAGAAATGTCATATTCGTTTTTAAACTAGATCACATAATCCTTTATAAGATACGTTGATTAACAATATGTAAACGTCAATATAGACGTAACAGCCAATTTACAGTATTTTTTGCTTTTTAGAAATGCCACATTGCTATGTTATTTACATTATGTGCTGCCAATGAAGCCGCACGACCATATAAACGAGGAGGCCCCAGTTCAAGAATAAAAGCTGACTTCACTTCAAGTATATTCCACTACACCTAACATTCCGTAGAGAGATTATATTGACAACTTTATGTTATTGATAAGGCTGAGACAACTAACTGACATCCCCCATGTCAATGAATTCCAGCTTTAACAGTAACCCCACAATCAATATCAATTTCTGAAAACTCTGCTACTTTGTATGGTCACCATTTAATAAGAAAGTATTAAAGTATTAGATGGTTCATTCATTGGCACAGAAGTACGATATGAACTGACTTGAAACTGACTGGAAAAATCAAACTTACACTGTAACGGGTATGACTCCCTTTGAAGTTAGATTATGTCTTCCCAAAAAAGCATTTTCTTTCGAAATAAATCATATTACACTGATGAAATCACGGAAGTGTTTAGCTACTAAAGGTCTACCAATACGATTTTAATACTATTTAATGTTTCTTTCAAAGGAAGAGATACCATATAACATACTAATAATAACTCCGACGACGTACGGTATGGGGAATATTTTATTCATTGAATGATCAACCAAATTTGGCAACTATAATGCAATTAATATCATTATTGTTTTTACACTTATTACTCTTTAAACAATGCTAAATGCTCAAAATATGTATATTTCACTCAATTTATCGCAGTTAGATGAATTAACGTAAGCCTTAAAAGTAACCGTCGATTTCAACGGGTTTCACCTAGTAATATATATATACGCTGTTCAAAAAGAGAAAGTGAAAATTGCTATCCAAATCTTATAGCAGCTACAAGAGTTAAATCCAACCTATTTAAAAAAATGAATCTATACTTTCAAAACTTCAGGACAGGTATTAAGAGAAACTTCACTGACATCGTGACAACGTTCTGATGCGGGGCATATACCGAGACTGACAGACACGATAAAATACGTTAACCAACTTTCAATGGTGTTGCTGCTTTAGCGTATTCAAAGCAGATTATGGCTGTCCAGTTGGTAACCCGGAGTTTGTGGGTAAAAAATGGAGCACATGAAATTATTGATATCCACCCCACTCTTCGGGATTCTATACGAAAAACATTTGTTGGCTTAGGGGGATGTCTCAAATAGAAGAAATAAAATGACCCAACTTAAATTACTTAACACGGGTTATCAGTAAGGCAACAGTTTTCTTTAATTCTCAATGCTGGACAAACTTTCTTGCAACATGTTAACTCGAATTGAAGCAGAACGTTTAGCATTCATTAGAAGTAATCAGTTAAACATGAGAGCAGAAATAATGTAGGTGAACCTTGACGACGCAAATAGAGATAGGTATTTAAAATTAGTTTCTAACAAGTTTTCAATGCTCTAAGATGTAACTAGAATTACTCGAATTTAAGCATAATGCTCTCCTCTGCGTTATGTTTCATACTATGCGGCTCATTGAGCCGCACGGGTTCTCTAGTAAACATTATAATACATCTTTCCCCATAAAAAAACAGCAAACAAATTTGAAAGAATTTACTAAAAACAATAACCAACCAAACTTCTCCCTTCTTTTGAGACCATTATATTGCATTCTGAAATCTTGATGGTAGCTTGATTTCTCTACGAAGTCTCAGTTGTACTGGCTCTTTCTTCTTAATGTAGCCCCGTTATCACCTTCTACCCAGTAACTTCTTGGAGTTGGTCCTTGATTAACAATCTTTCCCTGCTCCCACCTTCCTTCATTTCTGAAGACAACTCTTTCGTTATTTCTTACAACCCTTAAGTATTTGGCTGACCAATCATAATATTTTTTCTGCAGCTGTTATCTTGTATTTAACCTGTCTTGTACTCCATCATTCAGCGTTACTTTCAGCAGTTCCTCGGTAACAGGGATCGTTGTCTTACACCTGCGTTGAAACATCAGCTGAGCTGGAGAATATCCCAGATGCTTAACGGGCATGTTCATAAGCTCCAAAAAAACCATTTTCAAATTCTTATTGTCATACTGTACTTTCCTAATCAACTCTTTGGCCATTCCAACTGCCCTTTCAGCAAGCCAATTGGATTAGGCATAGCCTGGACTATAATGTCTTGATAATCTTCAGGGCATCTTCATGCTCTACGGTCCATAAGAAGTCCACATCCTTTCTTGTCAAATGTCTGAGGGGAGCAGTGATTTTTGCTAAATTCGGTATGAACCTTGATAAATACTTTAGCATGCCCAATAACCGCATCACCCCTTTCTACATAATCTATTTACATAATCTGGGTCGGGTTGGATTCCTGCAGCCGATACTATGTGTCCCAGATACTTAACTTCGCTCTTCTTAAATTGCATCTTGTTTGGATTAAATTTGATTCCAAGTTTAATCCAAACTGTCACAGAATAATAATAAATGAGTTAATGAGTTGGATCAGGTTTAATGCCCTCTTTTTGGCTGTGTCCAAAACTCTCTTTAAATTTTCGTCATGCTCTTCCGATGTCGTTCCTCCTACAATAATATCATCATGTACTATGTTAACTCCCTTCAGGTTTCAAAAGCATTTGTAGTTATTTTCTCGTAAAATTCCGGACCCGAACGGATTCCAAAAGGAAATCTACAAAATTGGTATCTCCCAAATGGGGTACTGACTGTGCACAGTTCACGGCTCTCCTTGTCTAAAAAAATTTGAAAAAACCCATCCTTAAGATCCAAAACAGTAAAATATTTGTAACCACTCAATGTTACCAGAATATAATCAGGGTGTGGCATTAAAAAGTGCTCTCTCATTACCACCTTGTTCAATGGCATCGGATCTATGCAGATTCTCAAAGACTTATTGGGTTTTTCCACGATCACCTGAGGATTGACTCATGCTGTAGGTTTGTTAACCTTCCGAATCACCCCAGTCTCCTCAAGTTGGTCCAACTTTTCCTTTAGTTTTTCCTGTAAACTGTAAGGTACAGCACCCTCCTTAAGCTGAATATGATGAGTGCCTGGAAACTGTCCCAATCCTTCAAAAGCTGTGTTGTAGTTGGTTAAAACATCGTCACTATCTTCAAAATTCTAACATATCGACGACACTCTCTTAATGAGTCCTAAATTGACACAATCGTTCAGTCCTAAAATTGGCAGTTCATGTTCGACATTCACTACAGAAAAATTCACTTCTGCAGTTACACCTGTAATTTTACATTGTACAAGACCTAGTGGTTTGATTTTGAATTTTTCATCTCCCCAGGCTGAGAGTACATAAGAACTACGTTTTACGTGTGTAATGTTAATTTTCCATACATAACTAGCAGGTAAAATACTGATCTCTGCACCTGTATATATAAATTTAACTTGTGTACATAGATCATTCTGTTTTTGTTTAGTGTGCAGGCGACATAAATAAAACACTAAGTCAGTTTAATAATCATATTTAATTGGATTAACATCTTAATACAACATGGGTTGCTATATTCAGTTCTGGAGTCTCAACGGAATTGTCCTCATAGGCCTCTAAAGCATGGATACAAAGAGTACTAAAACTAATTGCAAGAAATACTTAGCCTATATAATATTAAATACTTATATGATATCAAACATCTCCTTTCTTTTTTTTACGAGAATGGCTTTTATTATGTTAACTCAAGATCTAACAGTTGTTTCTTATAGCCTGTTTACAAGTCTAATCTTTGAGGTCTTTCGATCAGTCTACCATACCTAGAGGTTGGGAGTGAGATAGGTGTAGGTTGGATGGTACCAAAGGATGGAGCATGGTTGGGGCTGAAGTCAGATTGGTTTTAGGTGTGAACTTAAGTTTCAGGAGTAGGTCTATGTAGGGTTTAAGTCTCTGGTTGTTTGATTGGATTATGTAGGAGTTCTGGATTAACAAACGTTGGGTTTTGATTTAGGGACTTCCTTAAATGTATCATGTTTCTCCTGACTTCTCTCCCATCATTCTGTTTTACTATGAATGACCTGTATATGATTTTACTATCTGTCCCGGTTCCCATGCTTTACCCTTCTGAACTAAAATTGATTCATTTAGCTCTAAGTTAGGCAATGGTTTACAAGTTTTATCGTACCATGACTTACAGTTACTACACTTAGCTGTTAGTTTTGCCTTAACATTTACATCAAAATTCTTAGGCTTAAGTTGGTTGTCTACACAAGGGATTTTGGTCTTAATCCTTCTACTTAGCATAAGTTGAGCTGGTGATAAGCCAATATCTTTCAAGGGGGTGTTTCTGTATTCTATTAGTTATACATAAACATCTGTGTTGCACTCGTAAGCTCTTCTTAACATGTTTTTGGCTATAGAAACAGACTTTTCGGCAAGTCCGTTGGATTTGGGATAATGCGGACTTGATGTTATTACATTAAAATCATAATCTGATGGAAAATTCCTTAATTCAATACTATTAAAGGGCATATTGTCTGCAATTTAAGTGTTTGGGATTCCAAACCTAGCAAAGATTGATTTTAATTTTTGAATAACACGACCTGCTGTTTTCCCATTCAAAGTTACAAACTCTAGCCATCTACTATAATAATCAGTAATTACTAAGTAGTCATTAGGGCCAAATTGAAAAATATCCGCAGC